AACAGGCAAAACACAAATCTAATGGAGCAAAGAAAGACTAAACACAAGGAATACACAGTGAATGTGATTTAACCTAAAATAACTAAGAATAGACTAATAAGTGGTACAGAAACAAAGGCTGATCTAAATCAAAAGAAATCAAAAACACAAACCAAAAAACAAAAGCAACTCAAAATCCTGACAGTAGTAGTAGTAGAATATTTTATCATCCTATCTTTCAATAACATCGTAGAATGGTATGTTATTGTTATGTTATTAAATTGTAAGTACACTTATGACTCTTATTGTGAGTGTCTGAAGGAAATTGTCAGTTTTTCCGTTATCATGAAGCTACGAAACTCATACTTGTCATATTCCCTTAGGGAAAACGGCTCCAATCAATATATGTTAGCTGTTTAGCCAAGTATAGCAAGTATAGGTAGATATTTAGCTTAAAGCTAGAAAGTTAAACAAGGATATGTTTATAATATTTTTCAGATGTGAGAGTTTGCAAAAGCTAACGTCCCAAAGTGTATTTTAAGATCTTGTTTTTTTCTAAAAATGAAGCTAGAAATAATACTTGATTTATTATTCACATAAAACTTAATGTGTATCTCGTAAGCTTTGGAATATTCTTATAGCTGGAGACAAGAAGGGTGAACGCAGAAAAAAAAGATGAGGACCGGATCCAGTAAAGTTCAACCATTCCTTTTTCCTCTCTTTCATTTGGTTTTGCTTCTTTTCCCCTTATTACCATGTTTACAATTTGGTGGCTTTGGTAGCAGTGGCATGGAAAATAAAAGGGAAGGAATTTTGAAAACACGTCAGTGAGTACACTGATATAAGAGGATCAGACATGCAAGAGTGGGATTGGGCTGTTAAGCTTTCCAAAAGAGAATAAAGGATGAATTATCATTTAATCCCATTCTGGTCAGTTTCAAGAAAAGAGATGAGAGGAGAGGAAAAAGGGTTTATATATATCTTCTGCAAAAAAGTGAACATTGTCAAACAAAGATTTGTGGTGTAGGTGGATAAGTAAGATGGTAAGAGAGGGGTCATCCATCTGTGAGAACTCACAGCCACTGAAAACATTCAGATAGGGAAGTTAATCTGGACAGAAAAAAAGAAGAAAACATTAACTACAAAAATAGAGTATATCTATAAACATTCACTTTTAGATTCACAAGTTATCTGTAATCCTAGCATCAAAGGCCAAACAAATATGTGTTTTGTATACAAATATTTTACCATAGCAAACTGGTTTATTAGTTATTTGTAGCTAAATATTTGACAGAAGAAAAAAGTATTGATATGCTCATATAGCTAAAATTATTGTATTTTTTTTTCTGAAGATGTTTGGCTCTTATGAAATACAACAGATTGCAACCCAAAATAAACTACTTTATCAGGTACACCTATTCAGTTGCTTGTCACCACAAACAACCAGTCACGTGGCAACAACTTCATTGACTTGGATACCTTCAAATGGTGAAAGTGACTTGTGTGTGTCGTTACCACAGGCATTCTTCAGTTTCTTCTCTGAGCCCGCCCAACAGTTCTGTAGAACACCATCAAGCAGTAAAATGAGTGAGCCTTGACTTTAAGTTTGGTCAGAGTCTTTTCAGGTCTGGTGAGAAATATTCAAAACTTTCTTGATGGAAGATGTAGCCACTTCCTCTGTGGTGGAGGAATAATGCTTCTTCCTGTGTCATTATTTTGGATTTGTTTTGAGCCTACTCAGCTAGTTGATTGGCATCCTTGTAAAGGCTGATGCACACAACTGCTGCCATCCTCATATGACGACTAAACAGCTAGCTCATTTTCTCTTGCTCAAACGTCCTGCTCGAACTTATGGTGGTAAACATAAGTTTGGCACATTTTTTGCATTGACTTGGGGGCTTCGAAGCCTTTTTCCTTATTGTTTTTCTGCCATTTTCAGTGTTCTTCAACTCTGGTCAGCAAAAAATGGCAAAATGTATAACTTCTGTCAAAGAGGATGGGGGTAAAACTTTAGACTTAATGTTGTGAGGGGCGAGGCTTGGTGTTAAAATTTGACCATTGGATTTTGTTAGGAATTTGACGGACCAATCAAAACAGGTCGATCTATGGATCTAAAAGTCAGTTTTTCCAACTTTCTTTTATTTTGCACGGACAATAATCAAAAGCTAAAAACTGGTATCAAAATGAAGTGAGACTTGTCTTGATTACGATTAAGGAATTTGAACAGACAAAAAAAAGGGATCCTGCCCCAAAAATGATATAAACATGTATTAACAGACTTCTTGAACGTACTATGTCTTGAACATGTTTCGTGTCAGCCTGCCAACTGTTTCTCCTTGGCTGATTAGATGCCATTGGCAGAATATTCCTTTCACTTCAATTTGAAATTTTCAAGCAAGACTCTAATAACTAACTGTGAGACTCCATCGAGCTGTCAGGTACCTGCGGACATGCGTGAAAATTGCAACAAAATACCAGTCTAAATGTAAATGGGCTTGGATAATCATTATCTTTTGTGAGTGGAACTTTTTCTCATTGACTACTATTTTTAGGGCATTTGAATTTATTTCTTCCTTCATAATTTAAATTAATGCTTCAGAAAAAACTCATATAACCTGTCTAAAAATGCTTTGGGCTTTTTCTTTTTATCCATTTTGTTTTTCTGTCTCCCATGATGCCAACAACAAGCATATTATTTTGTTTCATAAGGGACTTTTTGAAATCCTGGAGTTTGTTTGATTTATTATGACAGTAGCCTATTTACTATTTTGCACTCCAAATGTGTATAACTATGAGAAAAAGAGGGGCATTTACATGTTTCCCATGGATCTTCTGTTTCTTGGCAATACCTGTCTTCCCATCTGCCCTTTATTTGTTCAATTTTGGCATATATCTAAAGCCTCTAATATCCGTCTTCATGCTTAGTTACACATGTGATTTCAACAAACATGAAATTATCTGTTAACCTTGAATTACAGTGGAAAATGTGATGAGCCAGAAACATAACACTCCAGCTTCTGGTAGAAAAGTGTTTCTTTTCTTGTAAAAATATTTACACATCTTAAACATGTTTTTCCACATTTTGACAATGCATCAACTTCACTATATTTTATTGTCATTCTTTATGATAGACCATCACAAAAAAAACTGCAGAAGATACAGCCTATCAAAATTTTCTAAAAATAAAAATCTTAAAACTGTCATGGATATGTTAAGCCATCTTTTTAAGTCTTCTACCTCTAAACAAAAAAAAAAATAAAGCTATATATTACCTTCAGAATTCAATTGGTAAACTAGTTTTAGAGTACATCTGTGTGTGATTTATTCTGAGTATAAATACAGATTCTCAGTAAAAAAGAATGTGTATTTGAGCTTTATGACAGAACACTGGAGAACAAGCAGCATCATGAAGATAGATGAATAACACTGTGGAGAGACTGAAAGTACAGCTTGGTTGAAAAGAACATGGGAATCTTTAAACATTTCTCAGAGCGCTGTTCAATGTATCATCCAACGGTGCAAAGAGTTGTCAAGCTACAATGACAGGCTGGACAAGGAAAGTATTACCATATTTTCCGGACTATACATCGCTCTTGAGTGCAAGTCTCCTAAGTCAAAAAATGTGTCACAAAGAGATAAAAAAAATAAATAAATAAATAAAAACATAAGTCCCTCTAAGTCACATTTATTTAGAAATTGTCAAATATGAAGGAGACCTAGTTTATGTAGATGAGACGTTCCGGTGACATCTTGTACTCGGTTGTTTTTTAAGAAACAGAGGGAAATTGTCGGCTTTGGCTTGGAAGTCTGCTGGCGATTTCTGACATACCGATGGTTGTGCTGTAAATCACCCTGGATTTACACTGCACATGTCTCCGCTCTGCTCTGCTTTGCTGTGCACTTTACTGGTGGAGTGCAGCCATTCGTGTTCAGTACATGGAGCTCTGCTCCACTGTGAACCCTAGAAGAGCTCAGAGAAGAATGCATGAGAAGTGAGAGACATCACAATAATGTGAGTGTTAATGAAGATGATGCATATATAAAATACTGTAATTCTCAACCTCCAAAATTAATGATTTTGCCCTCCATTGCTCTCCTACTTCATCTGCCTTGACTGACTCTTCAACTGCGACATATGCGAGAGAACTTGACTTAATATATTTCAGAATTAAATCCACACATTTTGTGTTTACGCATAGCCGTAAATAATACATGCTGACAGCAATGATGTATAAATATACCAAAATGTCTATCATTACCGCTATGTTCAAGAAAATGTAGTCTGTCTTGGTGAATTATTTTGAAAATATGGATGTCGTGCTTGTACTTTTTCAAGTTGGAGCGGTGTAATGTTTGGAAATTGACTCCGCACTTTAGGCATACAGCAAAAATAAGATCAGTGCAGACTTTGTGATGAGGAGATGCTATGCATGGTGCCACATGCAAGGCTGTGCAGAGGCCATGTAAATACTCTTGTATAGACTATAATGGGTGCGCATTTACTGCAGAATCCGTTCCTTTGCAGAGCGCAGCACAGGGGGGCGGAGATCCAAGCAGGGGGTCAGAAACAGCTCTGTTTTGCTGATATTCTGATGGTCTATACAACCACGTCAAATATTTCTACCGTAGCCAACGAAGTGCACAGCAGAGCAGAGCAAAGATACCTGCAGTAAATTCAGGGCGATAGAGAGGCGGTTGTGTTCATAAAACTGCACCAAGAAGGCCCAACTGAAATTCATATGTTCACTTTTTTTGGCAAATACCAGGACGTTTCGAAGTAATTGTACCATTCTCAACCCTCACGGCGCATCATTTAAGGACCTAACTCCTTCATTCTTCTAGCTCTGGTCATTTCCTTTCAGTCTGCCTTTAGCTTTCTTTATGGTTACAATTAATAATATTTATTTGGTTTATGTTGGTCAGTATGACTTAACATGTAATGCATAGTTCAAAAAATGCATCATGAGGAGAAAAAAACAACACAAAAACACATGTAAGTTGCTCTGTACTATATCTTACAGGACCAGCCAAACTATGGAGAAAAAGCTGCGACTTACAGTCCTGAAAATACAGTAATGAGAGAAAAACACAAGACAGTTGGTAAAGGTAGAGGAGCTGTATAGGTACACCGTTCAGGGAATCTATTAACCGGACAACTGTAAGTTGTACTCCACAATGATGAAGCTTTTTTGCATGGGAACTTGACCTCAGCGCAGCTCACAATGCTATTATTTTGGTGCCCTCTTCGGAAGTGAACAGAAAATGCCTGCAGTGTTTTGAGTTGAGCACACCTTTGGAGTTTTGCTCAAGCACAAAAGAATTTTATCTCTAGTTGCAAAGCTTGAAAAAGTTTAATGAAAATATTGGGTACCGTAAATCCATTTAATTCCTAATTATATGTATGGTAACAAACCTGTTTTTTTTTATTTCCAGCTACAGTATTCAAGCTTTACCAATTCCCTTCTGTCCACAGAGGTTATATGTTATTCCTTTGTGTCTTTCAGTCTCTCAGAATCACACAAGAACAAGACCATCCCCCTGCATGCGTCATGCGCCACAGATCCAGTGCAGATAAGCAGCTCCAAACCTCCTCCCCTCCACAAACACACACACACACACACGCATATATAACCCATAAAAACTGATTTAAGGTCTCCAAAGCAGAACTGTCCACATACGACTATCTTCACAAAGCTGCTACGCATGAGTTGGTGAGCTGTCTCATTGATCTGCCTTTCCCTGCAGTCCGGCCTGGGCATTCACTCTTGTTTGCTACGCCTTAGCGAGTCCACTTTGGAAAACATTGCCCATGGGAGAGATGGAGGAGATTTTTGTTTGGGGGTGGGGGGGCATTCATACCCACCAAAAAGTTTTACTTCTGTCATCCTTTTTAGAGAGTACAAATTTATGTGACCTCATAAATTGACAATTGTAAGCATGCTGCAAATACAAATCAAACATTATGTAATGGGGGCATGTATCTAATCTTCCATTGAAGACTGCACAAGGGTTAATATGACCTTATTAGAGTGGAGATAAGTAATGCTCATCATTAGCTGATGTTGCTCTCCAACATCAGCTCAACTTTATTTATTCTGTATATTAGCAAAGAGAGAAAGCATTACATGTGAGTCAGAAATCTAGGTGGGTTCACAAAGTCACAGAATAATGCAAAGTGCTCTTCTTAGTTATTTATTTACCGGTTGTTATTTTTAAAGAAGGTACTTCTAATCTGACATATGAGCATCCTTGGAATGCATATTCTAATTTACTGAATATGACTGCTTAGATTCAGCAAATTTCTTACAAAAACAGAACAAATAGATGAGTTTAATTAAAGACCTTTTTGACTTCTTTTATCCTTTGTTGCATGGTGAAGATTGAATGATTCCACTTCTTGAGTCTGATTGCCAAGTTGTGCTTTTACTTTGTGTTTATTTCTTTCTGTTTATTGCTCATTGGGATTGCATTGAATACTGTCTGTGGATTCAGACTGTCACAGTGGACTGGTTACACAGTGAAGAAAGCATGTTATCAAGTGTGCCATAAGCCTGTTCCTATAATGTTCTTGACATTCTCAGATCAGTTGGTTGACTTTCAATTTTACTTCCTTCTACTTGTTAGCATTAGCCATACAAATATAATATAATTAAACCATTTTATTATTATTATTATTATTATTATTATTTGAAACAATATGCACATCCATTACACATAGAGGGAAATGGTTCAAACCTCTATATTTTTGATTTTGATCAACGGGTAAGGAAATTAATAACTCAAAAAAATAGAATATTATGAAACACCAATTTTCTAAAGAAAGTCTTTTTAATGTATAAATGTTATGCATGAACATAGATCTTAATTTATTTCATGAATAGAAATAATAACTCATAATAACTCAAAAAAATTAATATTATGAAACACCAATTTTCTAAAGAAAGTCTTTTTAATGTATTGATGTTATGCATCAGCTTAGATCTTAAATTATTTCATGAATAGAAGTAATTTAAAAAGCTCACATCATTGATGTATACATTTGGAGTAAAGATTAGAGAAGTGGAAATTTCTTAACTGGCAGGAAAACCAAACCATGTACGGGAAATGCGAATCAAATAGTAAATTATCTGATCTCAAACTCACAAAAAGTGACATATGTCAGTATTTTCAGTGTTCTGCTTTTGATCAGTAGATTAAAATAAGACCTTTTATATTTTCATGTAATACTTTCTAGCTCAAAATTGGGTTGAAAGCCCTGTCCTGGGTTTTCTTTTCAATAACTCTTCCCTAGGGTACACTTGCTTTGAATCAATTAAACCTGATCCCAGCCTCTCAGATATCATTTAAGGCTCCTGGCGTCAGCATTATCTATGTCATCAAGCAGATTCAAAATTGGTGCTTTTGTTGTATCTGCTTGCCGGCGATGATAAAGGTCATGGATCAATGTTTATCGTCTAAGTAAAATTGCACAAACTTGATATTATCTTATGAGAGGCAGCCTGTAAGCGCTTAAGTTGACTTGTAGCATAAAACTGTAAGCTCGAACAAACACACAATATGTCTGCTGATAAATGATGGAAACCTAAGTGTATCATTGACATGAACAGCTGCTCTTTTTTTATCAGATGAAGGACAGTGCAATGAATGAAAGGGCAGTTGGTAGATGGTTAGTTTGAAGCTCAGGATTTAAGATCTGATAAAGTAAGTGTCCAATGTTTAGACAGTGGTTGGGCAAGCTCACTGGAGTCCAATGTGAAAGAAGTTAACAATCTGCAGACTCAACAGAGAATTAAACATTTAAACATGACACCTCACAGTTTTTCTATTAGTCAATTTCTTCAGCCTACCTGTTTGACTTCCCAGATCATCGTACACCTTATTCAAAATCCTCCACCTCTCATCAGCTGATTTTGTGTACAGGTATTCACATTTTACATAGGTTTTTTTAGACTGCTGGAATCTGCCTGTAGCTTTCTTCAACCATCGTCATATTATATGCTTATTATATGCAAAATAAACACCTATCCTGGAACACTAACTTCTTCAACTAATGATTTGAAGCGTTGGCTTTAACGAGTCTATAAACAGTTAAAATATGATATTTAATCCTCGATTAGTTGAAAAGCAAGCGGAAGATGTAAGCAAAGAGGAGGTAGAGAAGAGGGAAATTCAAACCATCTCTTTCATCAAATCTCTGGCAAACAATACAGATGAACTCCAGCCAGAGTATTGGAAAAGCAATGTTACATGTTTTATTGAGACATGGTTGCAGGATCATGTCAGAGATTTGCAGAGGAGTGTCTAGAACAAAGATGATTAGCAATAATTGTCAACATTAGATGGTGAAATTCAGGACATTATGCTGTAAAGTATTGTCTCTAAAGTCCAGATATCAAACTATTAGAAGTAAGTTTTCATCCATCAGTGTTATCTTGGCAACCAAACACATTCCACCATCAATGTTGCCGACACTGAATCTGATGTCATCAGCCCTGTTGTTGCTAAGCTATAGACATAACAGATACATACACACTTCGGGGAATGTCTGGTGATTTTAACCGCACCTCATTCTCTTCCACTGTCAGTAGGGAAAGAAATTCTCTCGCATGTTTTAGAATGGTTTTATTTGCATGTTTACAGATTTGTTTTTTGCAGGCATTGATTGAAGGCAGCTGATTGTAATTAGTTTGGCCCTATTCTCAAAGAGGACTGTGCCAGGAGCTGTGGCTGCAGAGACTTCAGCTGATGGGAAAAGACCAGTTTGGGCAGGTACTCTGTTCTTGGAGTGAGTATAAACAATCTTTCATTAAATTCCCCTTTTCTAAAGTGTATTCCTGTTTTACACATAAAGAGACACCAAGCCAGCTTCTGTGACTTCTGTGAGCCTCTGGACAACTTTTCACCCCATCCTTCCTGGGTTTGTTTTAACTGTCTTTCTAGATCAGTCAAGCATGCCAGACCTCATCTTGGCAAATCAGATAGTATTGTTATATTGCTTTTCCCAGAATGTAAATCCCTAGTTCAGAAGCAAGTTAAAATAGAAGAAACTGTAGGTGGTCACGGGAAGCTTAAGAACTTTGGCTGAGCTCTTCTGATGTATATGTATGTGTATGAGCAGCTATATAAACCTCTGTGTGGACAACACCATCTCCACCAGAACAGTAAGCTACTTCCCCAGCAGCGACTCCTGCAGAAACTACCAAACAAGCAAAAATGAGACTTCAGTCAGAGGCTTACATAGATCTGCTGTAACAGTGACTGCTACAGGAGACCTGTATTGCCCACAGCTATCAACATCTACACATACTCTTTGAAAAATTAGTTGCAACAAATCTTTAATTTCCCTTTTGGTTTAACAAAGTATTTTTAAAATAAATTGAATTAAATAATCAGCCAATCAATAGTTTAAAGGTATGTGTTTGAAAGCACAACCAATCTAACTTTGTGACAGATGAACTTTAGTGGCATAGTAGTGTTGGGAATATTTTCTTGGCACTCTCTCGGCATCTTCGTACCAAGCTGTTCCAAAGCAACAGCCTACGTGAGCCTTGTTGCCGACCACCTTCACAAGCACAATTTACCCATCTTCTGACGGCTTCTTCTTCTTTAAAAAAAAAAAAAAAAAAAAGTGCTATGTCAATAAGTCTGAATCATATAGAACAAGCAAGAGAATCCATTGTACTCCAGTGGCCTTCAAAGTCACTATCCAGTGTTGCACTTTGGCCAGGCACTGGAACAGAAGATATGCAAATTGGATGTGCAGCTGACAGATTTGCAATAATTTTGTGATGCTGTCATGTCAGTATGGATCAAAATTTCTGAGGAATGTTTTTGAAACCTAAATGAATCTATGCAATTATAAATTTATACTGGGAAAACAACAACAACAAAAAACCCCCACTATATTTAAACTGGTGTATTCCACTGGTATCGAACCCCTAAATATTTTTGTGACACATTTATTTGATAACATTAACTACTGTGAAAAATAAAAATAAAAAGGGTGTGGTGGTCCCCCATTTGTCATGTTGTATGCTTTTTTCTTTTGGTCAATGTCCTGCACTCTACTGGAATACAAAGGATCAATGAAGAGCTTACGT